GGGCAGCGTGAAGCCCCAGCCGCTCTTTGGGGGAAGGGAAAGAAAGCACAGGCAGCATCCTGGGGAAAAAAAATAATAAAGAATCCTCCCAAAACAACTGACTGGTAAATTAGAGGGAAGAGGATTTCCCTGAGGAATCTCTGCCGCTGTTGTCTTGGGGCCGCTCTGCTCTGGTTGCGCCGGATGGGCTGGGATGTTTGGGCTGGGGGAAGATGCAGGCACTGGGAGCTGGACTTGCCCCATCAGGTGCTGGAGGGATGAGCTGTGGATGCTGCTTCTCATGTGGGGCCAGTGGGGTGCTTTGGGGGAAGCTGTCCCCTCCAGGGCAAACAGCATCTGCTCGGGGTCCTCCCACGGGTCTCCTGCCTTACTGCTCTCCTCTGCTCATCCCCACTATTGCTCTGCCATGGGTTCCCCGGCTTTAATGCCAGACTCACGCTGCCCCAAAGGCAACCAAAGACAACTGGGGCTTCAGTGAACTCATACAGAGGGTCTGCAGGCACAGACGGCTTCCCAGGTACCTCTGCGGGGCTGGAGCGAGAGCCAAATGCCGGTCCATGGCGGGCTGGAAAACGCTCTGACAGTGCTGCTAGAACAAATTCCTCCGGCGCCTGCTAACGTGAACGTAATTGAATCAGGACAGCTGACCTGCAAGGCTTCACCCACCATCTGACGACACAAGCGTTTTGAAAGATGTATTAGCAGTACAGATGTGAGCTGATTTGTATGCACTTATCTGCCCTCTCATTTCATTTATCTTTGCACCTCTAACAGATGCTGACTGGCCACTTCAGCTTCCCTACCCTCCCTTCCTCCCCAGACTCCCCCTTCAATAATTAATCAGGAGACGCTGCTTTTATTTCTAGGGCTGTGCTTCACGTCTTAATGAGGGGGGTTCCCTGTATGGAAAAACCAGCACAAGCGACACCTTCCAGGTGCTGCTCCAAAGGTTTGAATGGTTAATGATGCTTTGGCGATGCCTTTCTCCTTCCAGAGGGAACTGCACCCCAAGCCAAGGGGCTGGCGAGAGGTCGTCTCAGCGTCACACTTCCCTGCGTCCCGATGGGATCTGCCTTGCCCTGCCGCCTCCCTGCCGCAGGGAGGACGCTGCCCATCGCAGAGAGCATCTGCCAGCGCTGTGGCAGCAGCTCGTCCCTTGGGGATGCTCCTCCTCTCTGGGCTGCGGCAGGAGAGAGCCGGGGGGGGATCTGCCAGAGCCTCGATATCCCATCCCTGAAGCTTTGCACAGGTTGTGGGGTGGAGAAGAGACGTGTCCTCATTGTCTCCTGTTTGGTTTGCTGGTCAAAAAGGTTTGAAGCCTGAACACTTGATGAAAGAAAGCAAGGAAGGAACGAAGGTAGGAACCTAGAGGCACAGGGAAACTTCAGCTGGTGAACACAGGAATACCCTGTACTTTTCATCAGGAGTCTTTTGGCTCAGTTAAGCTCCTTTACAACATTGTCCCTGTAAAGGCTCCCAGCCATGAGCCGATTTCCAGCCTCTGGAGGGTCTTCTGCTGCTGCTCAGGTGCTCCAGGGAGGCACCAGGTACATGAAGCCATTTCCTTGCAGCAGTCAATGGGACGGGGCGAGAGCGGCACTGAACCCCTGGGGCAATCTTGTGCCTGGCGCTCTCCTCGTTATTTCACACAAAACCGCCTTCCCTGCTCTGCAAAGGACAAGGAGGAGGTTTCAAGATGAGGATAAAAGTGACTTGTGAGTTCCCCGGGTTGTGTCCATGCAGACTGCCTGCAGATCCTCCTCCCAGCACAGACATGGAGGGCACCGGGGCTGGGAAACCAGTCGGAGAAGTGTCCAGAGGTGTGTTTGAGCTGGGCAGACCTCAGGTGAGATCCTCCTGGATGGTGCCAAAGAAAGCGAAATGGAAGGCAAGGTTTCCAAGAGTTGTTTGACTCTGCAGCGGCTTGGGAAAACACACACAAACAACCGTGGCACGGTGCTTTATGTATTTGTTCAAAACCGATCGCTTCCGCAAAACTGGATTTCCCGAGCGCGGAGATGTGTCACAAACAGCAATTTTTCGTGCTTCAGCAGAGATCAAGGTTCTTGCTCCAGTTTTCCAAGGCTTAACACTGCTAAATCAATGTGGCTGAACAAGCAGTATAGATCTTTTATAATGTCAAATTGGTTTTTAATAACGACAGCTGATAACCCTCTTGTAAAGCTTCCCGAGATGTGCTTGCAGACAGCCAGAAGGCAAGATACTCACGTTTTTAACAAGCCCATAACATGTCTTACTCACCTATTAGCCTTTCAGTAATTATTTATAAATGAGATCTGAATAAAACGGAGCCGAGAAGGTGCGGAGGATGCTCTAGCCGATGCTCCACCGCTTCGGCTTTTCACAATTTCTTCCTAATGTCTCACACCAGCCTTATTACATCCAGCCTGGCTGCCAGCCAGCACTCCTTGTCCTACCACCCTTGAGAGCAGGGGCTTCTTTCATTTATATTGTTACCTTGAAGGTATTTATAGATTGCAAACGTGTCGCCCAGGGTCTTTTCCAGACTATATAAATTTACCTCCTTTAGTCTCTCCTCGTACGACTTAGCCGCTAACTCACCTGTCATTTTTTCCTGCTGGTTTTCTTAAGCCAAACTGCATCGCGGGGGCTGTAGGGACAGGTCTGTGCAGGAGGAGCGCAGCGTCGTCATGTCCCCCACCCCGTGCTGAGCCTGCCGGGACAGTTCTGTGCAGGAGAAGCGCAGCGTCGTCATGTCCCCCACCCCGTGCTGAGCCTGCCCCAGGAGAGGGGCGAGGGTCTGCCCTTGGGGTTCCTGCCCAAGGATCTCTTCCCGTGATTTCCTTGAGCCTACCACGGCGAAGGGTAGCGCCACAGAGGGGATGCGTGGGCCCTGTCTCAGCCTCCCTGCGCTTCTTGGGTCCTCCCCATGGAGCCATTGCTGTGAGATGCCTTCACTGCCTGCTCTCTACCACCAACAGGCACCTTTGGAGGACCCCGCTCCAAATTCACCGCTGCTCCCCACTACCTGGCGCTTGCAGCCCAGAAAGCCAACCGTGTCCTGGGCTGCATGTCCAGCAGCGTGACCAGCAGGGCGAGGGGGGGGAGTCTGGCCCCC